AGAGAGAGAGAGAGAGAGAGAGAGAGAGACTATGTGGTTGAGGAAGGAATGGCGATATTTTTTGGTTATTTCCATCTTGTAGCTGTGATATCACCTACGCTGACAGGATAATTTAGAATTGAAATGACCTAGTTCTTTAAAGACGAAATAACTTCTGACTCTATATGGTCGCTGTTAAGCACAAGGGAGCTGTCCCGTAAAATGCTGTTTTGAGAAAATCGAAGGTAAAGTTTTTGCCCCTTGTTCAGTTTCTTTAAAAGACAAGGAGTTTTCTCTGTAACCAAACAAATATACACACAATGAAACCAAACTTTTCCTATGTACCTAGAGGTTGGGCTATGCTCACTTTTGGTGCTGGTCAAGACTTCAGGAAACCCCCAAAATTTGGGCTAGCCCGCTTGTCCTTAAAAGCGAACGTATGCAGGGATTCGAACCGTGTACGTGTCGGCACAGGCCACTGACGTACTGACTGACTGTACCATGGGGCCTGCAAACAGAGTATTTCTGAAAAAACTTGTTGAAATCGGGCGCTTGCCAAAATATTGAAATCAAAGAAACCGACATGTTTCTGTCTGTTGGGCTGTTTTATTTGAATTATGTTTTTATTACTTTAATAATTAATTTATTTGCTCAACATATTTACGTCCATTTATTAACACAGTTCACTTTAGATGCTACTGAAAAACATGGATCAAAGGAAACAAGACATGTAAATTTGTAGTTTTCAAGGACACTCAAGCTTTTGAAGTCACCAAACTCTGGCGGCCATTCACTAGTTAATTTTACCCTCGACACCGGTCGACTTACACATCTTTAATCGCAAATATCTCTACTTTTATTCATGACAGATGAGTATTTTGTTTTGAAATTTTAAAGCAAAGCTATACGACATAAACAAGCTGTAAGATGATAGTAATAATTCCACATTATGCCCCCCCCCCCCGAAAAAAAATTAATTAAATTAAATTAAATTAAATTAAATTTTAAAAAACTATAGACATTTTTGACAAAATGTGCGAGCGCCTGATTCCACCCTGTCATGATACGTTGAAGTTGTGGAGAACTATATATAATATATATATATCGGTGAGGCGCTCTGGTACACAGGTGGCTGCTAGTCACGAGGTTTTTCACATTTAGTAGACCATCCAAGGACTGGTTTATGGTCTATGGCCGCAGCCCTGACATGAATACTTAACTTGTGTAGGTATAGCATAACCAGATCCACCTACTTATCGATTCGGGTTGTTTTTTTTGTTGGTTTTTTTTGCTTTTTTGTTTTAATGATATAAAGGTGTTGAGCCTCAGTGGTCACCTGTATATCTCTTGTTGACTCTCTCCAGTGCTTCTGTCAGCTGGATATATTATTCTGTGATGGGAGCTCGGAGGTTGACACAAAGTGTGTTCTTGTGTCGTATACACTGCATGTGTAACACAGAGTGTGTAATTACTGTGTCGTACACACTGCATGTGTGATTCAAAGTGTGTAATTACTGTGTCGTACACACTGCATGTGTGACACAGAGTGTGTAATTACTGTGTCGTACACACTGCATGTGTGATTCAAAGTGTGTCACTTTGTCGTGTACACAGAAAGTTTGGCCCAAAGCATGTTCTTGTGTTGTGCGAACTGGAAGTTTGACACACACTGTGCTCTGGCGTCGTAAACACAGGAGATCTGACACAAGCCGTGTGTTACTGTGTCGTATACACATGAGATTTGACACACACTGTGTTCTGGCGTCGTAAACACAGGAGATTTGACACAAGCCGTGTGTTACTGTGTCGTATACACATGAGATTTGACACACACTGTGTTCTGGCGTCGTAAACACAGGAGATTTGACACAAGCCGTGTGTTACTGTGTGGTATACACAGGAGATTTGACACACACTGTGTTCTGGCGTCGTAAACACAGGAGATTTGACACAAGCCGTGTGTTACTGTGTGGTATACACAGGAGATTTGACACAGACTGTGTGTTACTGTGTCGTATACACATGAGATTTGACGCACGCTGTGTTGTAGCGTCGTGCAAACCGGAAGTTTGACACTACTATGCCCTTGTGTCGTGCAAAGGTCCGTGCTTGTCTGTGATGGGAGCTGGGAGGTTGACACAAACTGTGTTATTGAGTCGTGTACCCCGGGAATTTGACACAAAGTGTGTTGTTCGTTGTGTCGTGCTGTGTCGGACAAAGCCTCGCGTGTGCCGTCAGAATGTCTTGTGTTGTAGAGACTAGACCTCTGCTCTTCACAGAATTACGTAATGGCCGGACTGTTCAGAGTTTCCGCGTGGA